CTTTTTAGCTGGGTTTGGGGGGCGGGGGCAGCCCGCACCTGTGGAGAAAACGGTCGGATCGTGTGTTATGGCAGTAAAACGGCTCCCCATGACGGGGGTGGGGGTGTAAGGCCTGTGCTCGGGCTGGGCTAAAGCTCCTGTGTGCCTGCGACATTCGGCTTAGGCCTGCCTTCTGCCACAGACCGGGGAGATGGGGTAAGGGGCGATTGAAAAGCAAAACCAGCTCGGTGCTTCAGGCTTGCTCGTGGGTGACGTGGGAGGAGAAATGCGAAGGAAGCCGGGCCCAAAACTCCTGCAGGAACGCATCCAAAAGGTAGATGTATTAAATGCCTCCTCGACAAGAACAAATGGCCCGATTTAGAGCTTCAGGGTGTCCTAGAGCAGCAGAAGCTTGTTCGCCAGCCTTACTGCAATTCTGTGCTTTGAATTTGGCTCTGACTAGATCTGCTTCATGGCAACGATTCTGCTCCAGAGGCCAAGGCTGGCAAGGTTGTGCCTTCCTGCTCTTCTCATTAGCGTGCATCTTAATTGATACCAATACCGCTTGCTCAGCATGTTCAGGAGGAGAGTTCTGCTGCAGTGGCTTTCGGGTGGTGGGAAGACCTGCCCTCGGCCCAAAAAATGCTGGTTAAATTAAGTTTAGTCTTTTAGTGGCTTCTAGATGGGCAGAGGCTTGAATTTTGTGCAGCTGCACCAAAACAAGCCTGGGTGTGAAAGGCTTGTGAGCAGAGCTGGGGTAGCAGCTGCTCCTGCCGGTTTTCTGGACCAGTACCAGAAAGCAGGAGGGGTGCGATCTCGCTTCATGCAGAGGAAGCTCTGCAAGAGCTCTGGCTTGTGTAGGATGGTCCCAAAACCTTGATGCTGGTAAATCAGTGCCTCTGGAGGGTCTGGGGCAGAACTAGCTTGAGGTAATTTCCCTTTGTGGTCAGGAGCTGCTACCTAAAGGGAAGATCAGGATTCTCTGCCTTTCCAAGGGAGACCTCAGGATTTGGGGCTATGCTTGGTTAGTTGGGAAGCCATGTTTTTTCTGTAAGCCTGTTTTCTGAAGTGATTGTGTGGCTGTGGACTTGCACCATTCCAAGCTCATGTTCAGAGCTCCCGAACATGGGTGGTGGTGTGAGCCTTGCTCCCTTTTCCTGCGCATAGGAGTGGTGGCTGCCGTGACCACGAGCATCCCCCTTGTCCCCCAGTGTCAGGAGGCTGTTTCTGGGGAGAAGGCTCATGCCTCCGTTAATCAGATCTTTGCTTTAGTGGGCAAACGAACTATTTTGTGTGTTGTGGCCATTAGTCCATCCCAGTTGTGGTGAGCTGGTACCTGTTTGTGAGTGGGGCAGTTCTGATGTGCTGTGCTGACAAATCGCTGACCCATTTGCTTAACTGCTTCTTTAATGCCAAGAATTGTGCTTGAGTGTTGCTAAGACCTGGAGCTAAAGCTAATATGAGTATTGGAGGCAATCCAGACATTCTACAACGTGTTGAAAGCCCAGTGGTGAGTACTAGCTTGCTTGACACTAATGCTTGTTCTCTTTACCAGAAAGAAGATACTGGGAGGAGTGTAAAAGACTGCTGGGATAACCCAGATGCCCCTGCACTTTCCACTTGCAGCAATGCAGATATATTCCGCCGAATAAATGCCATGTTGGACAACTCTCTGGATTTCAGTGGAGTCTGCACCACGCCTGTCGCAAGAAGCAAACGTGATGTCCCGCCAGGTGATGAGTTTGGCTGGCTTGGAGGATCTGGGGCTGGTGGGAGGAGGGAGTTGCTTGATGGGCCCTAGTGAACATGTGGTGATACTTCTTGGTGGTGTGGTTGTTACTGCATCCTTGTGAGCAGAGAGATGCTTGGGGTCAGGGACTAATGCTGTTTTGGTACCAGGGGCTCCATTTGCCTGAAAAGGATAACCCAATATTCCCTGGCAGTGTGGAGGTGCCTGGGGAGGCTTGCCTATGCTCCCTGTGGTGCTGTGGACTGTTGTGTGGGCAGGATGTGAGCTCTTGCTGCGTGACCTGCCAACTTCTGGTGTAGATTGTTCCTGCAGACTCCTTTGTAGCTCACCTCTCCTGGAGGCAGGATTAATCTGTTGGTGGCTAGTATGGCTGATTTGCTGCATACATTAAAAATGCAAAAAGAACTTTGGATAACCGTGTTTGCTACAGGTTAGTTAATCATGTATTTAAGAGTACACCAAAGGAGGAGAAGACTTTCTTGCAAAGCAAGCTTGGGATTATGAAATCAGTGCAGCAAGTTTTGCTTCCTGCAGGCTGAGGGGAGTGGGCATAGTCTGTCTTCTTGCACTTGATCTGCTTCAAAACAGAAGGCTCCCTGCCAAAGCAAAGGGTGTTTGGTCCAATCTTATTTTTATGTAAGTGAAGGATGTGCCTTCATTCCCTTACAGGAGGCAATATCTGCCAGTAAATGTACCTGCCTGATGGTGCTCTTGCCAGCACACTTCTGTGCAATGGTACCTGTGCCAAGGATTTAGGTGCTTGAAAGAGATTGCTGTTGCTCCTTCAGCCTCTGAATTATAGGGTCAATAAACACTTTGGCCATTATTGGAAACAAACTGACCCTCTGGACTTGTCCCAAAACAAAGTGGGAAGTAAAGGGAAAAGCGTCACCAGCTGGTGACCTTGCAGGCTGCTGTAGGTGGAGAAGCTTTCATTGCAGTCACTTGGAGGCATGGCTGTCTTCTGCTCATGGATAATCTGAGTTTTAATCAAATAGGTGTAAAAAGCTGCAAGCAGCTGTCTGAGCTTCCTGTGGGTCTGTTTAATGCTTGTGCAGTGCAACTTTGTTCTGGGCTAGTGAAATGACTGCTACGAGATGACTTCCAGTGCAGCTTAATCTCCTGGGTATTTGAAGGGTTTAGCACTGTGGACCAGGAGCTGATCAGGCCATGTGATCCTGTGCTGGCGCTGCAGAAACACCAGAGGAAGTGAATTGTTCGCTTTGAGGTATGGATCTATAGCCAGCATTACTTGAAACGTGCCTGGTAAAGCGGTATTGGAGAATGTGCTGGCCACTCCTGAGCAGTTGCTTAGTGAATATTAACTAATTCAGGTCAGTGGTGTGGTTAGTGGTGCTTTTTTAGCAATTTGCAGTTGTACTGAGCTGTTTAGATGTCTCTTGTCCCTTAGAACGGTGGTAGTCAGTGTTGTATCTGATCTTGACACCCTGGGCCCTGGAAGCCTAAGGGAGGAAAGTATTTTCCTTTATCTCCTTACATGGAGTTCATGAAAGAGCTGGTTTTGGGTGCCTTGTTGAAATCCTAGCTGTAGCTCTTAGTCCATTTATATTTTGAAATGGGAATGTTTCCTAATTAAGTTTCAGCTTACTTGTGAAAGTTACCGTAGTTGATAAAGGAACTACCCCTGCTCACTAGAGCAGATTCATCCTGTGAAGACTTGGGTTAGTTCTGGTTTTAGGTCAGGGCTTAGGGCTGGCACATCAATTTTAATTTGCAGTACTGTCTCCTGGACATATTAAGCCCTCTCTTTGAGGGGCAGGGGTATTCACCTGATAATGAAGTGAACCTGCTTACTGACCTGGATGTAAATCTCTGCTTGGTCTGTCAGTTACTGTGGCATTTCTTACAGATGCCTGGAGCAGAGGGTCTTGCCTGGAGTGGAGCTGCTGAGGTGGTGCCTTGGTTCTCGGTTGGAACCAGGGTGACTTTCCCTTCAGAGGTTTTAAATTCTGCTTGTGTTTCAGGCTGTCATTGAGCAACTTCTATGTTTATGTCCTACAAGAGGTCTTTTAATGGGACTTGCATGTGGAAAAGGGAGGCTTCCTCTAGCAAGCATTATTTCTGCTGCAGGGCAACCAAAGGTGTGCTTTTTGGGGATGTCCTAAGCAGCTTTTCTTGTTCCTGACAGCAGTTGAGGCCAGTCTCAGAAGTAGGTGCTGACACAGCCACTTGTGCAGTGTGGGGACCCTGCTCAGCACTGGGTAACCTGACAGGAGGCTTCTAGCTTGTATCAGATTCTTCGTGCATCGGCAGAAATGCTTGTGATGGCATGAGAAAAGAGGCTTGCTCACTTCCCAAAGGATGCCGGGCATTACTGAACCAGGGCTAGAAAGTGGCTGCCTTGGGTGCCTTGACTGTTTAGGCTAATGGAAACATGGCATCTCTTACAGAAGGTGCTTCTGGGCTGTACAAGAGACAGAGTACAAGCTGAGCTAACCCTGGCTGGGCCAGCAGTTATCAGCTGTAAACATGTGGATGAGTCGGCATCTGCCAGTACATCAGCAGTTTGGAGTTGTTAGTCTGCTTGCAGTCCCAGTCTTGTTTTGTGTCGGAGTCAGGACCTCTTAGTAGGTAATGAGGGCCTGAATGCAGCAGTGCTGCAAACTTCCTTCTGACTCTGGATCAGAGAAGTTCATGGGCTGCCTCTGTTTAATGTGTTGCTAATGAGCATCTTTCCCATGGAAAAACTCGATGCTCTCAGCAAGGATTTGAATCCTAGGACAGCTGTGATCTGCAAATGGGGAGGTGCTTTGGCCCTTGGACTCTGGCCTGGGTTGGGGCAGTCTTTGCAGGAATTTGTACCTGATGGCTGTAGGGTTGAGCAGCTGATGGCTAAAATTCAGACTATAATGCCCCCTGTGCTGGGTTTAGAGCTGGGTGTAGAGCCTGAAGGAGGCTTTGGGTGAAGATAGTGCTCTGCATGATCAGTGTCTTGCCTTTGGTGAGCCTGGCTTATGGGTAGGTGACCAATGGAGGAGGCTCTTCATCTCATGTGGTGTCTTGTCAATGCTCCAAAGTAAATCACTTCTGAAGAATTCCTGAGCCTCTGGTTGGTGCTTTTACTCTGTGCAGAGACAACTTGTGTGTTGTAGTTAGGCTGTATTATCATGAAATTCATAGCCTGGGCAGTCTTAATGAGCCTGGAGATCCACCCTTAATGTAGTAGCTGCAAGAGGTGAAAAGACTCTCTTTTTACAACTTAAACCCTTATAGTGGGAGAGCTTGGGGAAGAGATTTTATTCCAACAGGGAAATACTTGTACTTTAAACTATTAATGGTCCCTCAAGCTTTTCAGTTGTCTTGCTCAGGTCAAACTAAATTTATCCTGGATTGGGATTGTGTGTAAGAAGCCCCTTTTGGCATTAAGAGGATTACATGTGGTGGAGAAGGGACAGCAGAAATTCGTGACCTTTCACTAATGCTATTGGGGAAACACGTGTGAAGACACCTTACTCTGTGCGATGAGGTGTGCAGCAAGACGGTGCTGAGAAGAGATCAGTACAGCAGCAGTCTGAGCAATGTGAGAGAACAAGCTTATTCAGCAGGCCTGGATCTGACACAGTTGGAGAGTTATCCAGATCTGGGCAGAGCTGCGTGGCAGAAGGGACTGCCACTGGAGACTGAGCTTGCCATACCTAATGTTAACTATCTGGAAAGATCAGTTTGCAGTTAATGATAATCCTCGGTGAACTTAGTTGCCTTGTCGAAATTATCTGAGTTGTCAGGCCCAGCCTGACCACCACTGCAGTTCATGAGTGCTTGCTCCAGGGATTTCCCAAGCCTAGGCTTAGGTCACTAACCCAAACTCAAGGGTACAGTGCAGCAGTGTGGTGAAAGCTGTAATTGTAGAACCTGTCTGGTAACTTCTGGGACAGGATCTCATGGTGTTTCAAAACACCTGCCTTTCAGGCTGATTGAATCCTCTGGAGAAAGGCAGAACTTCCTCAGTGAGATTCTGTGCAGTGCAGATGTTAACTTTTAGTGTGGTGTTGGAGGCTGGAGAAGGGTGGCCTTGTTAAAAGCAGGAGTCAACATCTCCTGCCAGTGCTGCTGGAGAGCAGCATGTCCTTGGGCAACTACTCCACAGGGAATGTGGTTCTGCACTTCTAAATTTAAAGCTGATCTAAAAAAGAATGTGAGCAAAGCCAGTCTCTGAAGGTACCACATGGCTTGCTTGCCAGGTTTTAAAGCTGGGCCTTGCTGGGTGGAAGATGCTGCTACCACAGTTAAACCTAAACTAGCTTTTGAAATTGTCAGTCTGTTCTCTAGGCACAACTTCTGGCTTAAGTATAGAGCAGTGAGCAAGGCTCCCTTCTAGCCTTTGCATGCCCACTTACTCACCTGGCTAAGCTGACTGGCTTCAACTGAAAGCAATGCTGGCTTAAAACAAATGCATTTAAAAGGGTTGTAGGCACCCCAAATGTCCCAGCAGCATTGATTTACCTTTCATTAAGCTCTACTCATTTAACTGAGACAAAGCAGCCACTATTTTACTGTAAATTGACAGTCCACTATGTGTGAAGAAATAGGAGATGCTGAAATGTCTTTCTGTGGATGGGAGGGGCTTAAGGTGCCAAGTTCAGTGGCCCATCAGGTCTTAATGATTCTCAGTGGCTGCTTTAGTTAAGGAAAACTGAAGGACAAATGCAAACCCAGACCAGCTGATGACTAAATTGGCTTCCTGTTTGCTCTCAATTGCAGTCAATTAGTGACTTATCAAGTTGTTTGGCCACCCAAAAACTCCTCTCTGGTACTAGAATGTAAATTCCTCTGCTCTTCACTGCCCTACAGTCATGAGGAAACATGCCAGGCAGTGCTGGATGCAGCTGACCTGTTGTGCACGGGCTTGGGAAGGGGATGACACACACGTAAGCTGCAGAGACCCAAAATGTAGTGCTGTGTGCCTGGGGTGTGTGGGGTCAACAGGGTGCCTGAGGCAGGGCAAGGCTGTTAGCAGGATCTCACCTGGAGCTGAGAACTATCCTGCTTGCCCCAAATGAATGCTGTGTGCCTGGTACCTGTGGCCAGGACAGTGAAATTCAACACCCATATGCCCCGGAAGAGGTGTGTGCCTACTGTGTTTGGGTTTTGTTTCAAGGGTCACACTAACAGGTCTTTGCCTACGTGGGCGCAGTGTAGTTCTGTACTGGAAAGTAGCTCTAGTAAATGGGTTTATTCATCAGTTCTGGAGATGGAAGCGGGTCATGGTGGGTGCTCTTCTGCAGAGAACAGGGCCTTAGTCTAGAGCTGTTGTGCGCAGCAGTGGTTGCAAATTGGATGGTGTTGCTGAAGATCTAGCAGGTTGCCTGATACAGTGAGCTCTCATTCAGGTTCTGGTGCAGTAGTTCTGTGGCAGGGTCTCACTGTTACTCTTGGAGGTATGTAGAGCAGCAAGGTGAAGTTGCAGTGCCCTCTTGGTTTCTTAAGTAGTTGCTTGCCAGCTGTTGAAGCGTTTGTGGTTATGGGAGTAAGGCAGACTCCTTCCTGTGACTGTGAAACAGATCGTGCAGCAGCAAATGTCTCCACCTGAGGAATTCTTCAGATTACAGGGAGGATGCTTAGTTTTGTATCAGGAAAACCTCTTGTAACTAGTAGGTTTATGCCTAACAAGAGCTTTCCTAAGCCCCTGATGATCCCCAGTGTACTTTAGGAATATGATTGGCTCATTCCCTAACAGCTTTCACTTAAGATCTGTTTGTCTTGTGTGCAAAACATGCTTGAAGCTTAATTTTCAGGGATGGGATTCCCAGCCTTAAGGAGGTGTAAAGAGGTGCAAAACGCAGAACAGTGCTGCCTTATGAGCTGCCTTCCTGTTTTCGATCCCAAGGCTGCAGAAATGCTCACCTTGCCTCTTGCTTCTCTGGATTTGGTTTGGAAGTTCCGCCTTGTCAGAGCTCTAGTCCACAAGATAGCTGCACATAAAATGTCTTAGAGCTGAGTGCGGTTTTGTCAGTGATCAGAGCTTACAGCGGAGTTGTGGGTATCCTTCCCTGCTCTGTACTCAGGGGCCTCATTTTGGGGGTGGGGGGGTGGGTGGGCTTCCCCTCTATTCTGGCTCTGCTAGAAATTAGCATGTGGGAGCAAAGGGACAAGACCTCTTCATGGCCGCAGAAGTGGTAGGAGTGAGATCTAGCTTGTTTGGTTCATGCTTGCATAACCATTTTATTGCTGCCTATCTTCTCAGGTTTTTACGATAAAATCCATTTGCTGGATGTTTAGTTGGCTTTCCCTGTGGCCTAGGTCTGTAAGGCTCGAACATCTGAAGATCTTCACGCTTTGCATCACCTGGCCAAGACTAAGTCTGATGGCACAGATGCTGCTACTACCAGACAGGGACTGAATTGTGCTCTGCTCTTCCCTTGTGACCTTAACGCCTGCCACAAACTGCCTCTGGATCACAGCTCCTGCCGCCAGTCCCTGCTTGTCCTTTCTGTGCAGGCTTAGGCTGTAATTTTGTAAATATCTTCCTGTTTCCAATGCCTGGTTGGTGCAGCCACACTGCATACCAGGTTAGGGGAATGAGCTAGGCTAAAGCTAACTCCTGGTGGCTTGGTTTTAACCAGATCAGCTTCCCAGTCTGGCTTCCTGTGTGGAAACTCATCTGCCTAAACTGGTGTGGGTGGGGACAAGTGGCTGGGGCTGCAGCTTGCAGAAGCCAGTTGGGCTGGTAGGGTTTAACTGTAGGTTGAGCTGCACTGTGTGGAGATGCTTGCCTTTCAGAAACCTTTGAAAAGTCTTAAATATAATGCTAACATTTGAAGTCTGAAAAATGCAGCTTTCAGTCTGGGAGGTGGTGTGGAAAGCTGTCCAGCCTGTGCTGTGGTGCGCCCTGGCTCCAGGGATCTCCTGGACAGACAGGAGGACGTCATCCTGGAGAGCCGCCTGCTCCAAGACCTGCATGGGAGTGTTTTGCTAAGGACTTGCTTCTCGTGATGCTGTCAAAACCAAACCTAACCAGCTCAGGAGGTGGGAGCTCAGTCTCTCCCAAACGGTCAGGCATGAGCCCAGCACAGCATGGCTCCCTCTGCCAGGATGGTTGGCTTCCAGTGGCAACTCCAGCGAAAAATCCAGGTTGGAAAGATTTGTGCTGGTTCTTGGGGTTGGAAAAGTCTGCAGTGAAGCGTTTGGGTTGGGCTGTGTCAGGTTGCAAAGTGAAACTTTAATATTTGGTAGCTGTTTACTTACAAATAACTTGAGACTTTGTTTCTTTAGACTTGATTTTTGTAGGAAATTATTTCTTCTTGACCCAGTATCCTATTAGTTTTGTCTGCCATCATCAATTGATTGCTTTAACAAATTTCCATGCTCTGAATTTGAAAATAACTATTCCAGAAATTCATTTAAATCTTTTTTTTAAAGTTGGTGTTTCCTTGATGACCCATATCCATCTTTCAGCATGGCTGGGAGCATTAAAGGGGAATCAGGCTTGTGCTGGCTGTTTGCTTTGGCTGGGAAAGGGTCTAATTAAAAAATGTTGGTTATTTAAGCAACTTCTGTGCTTTCAGCAGTTATACCCGTAACTGAATTGCAGGGAGCTTGTCTTTAATGCAGATTGAAGTCATCAGAGGGAAATGTAGATCTCTTGAACTTGAATCTGGTGGGGTTCAATTAAACAAAACAGCTTATTTCCTGGAAAAAAAAAAAGATGGGGGAAAATGTGGCTGGATGCTGTGGAATGAGCACTTCCCATCGCTCATGAATTTGTTCCCTGTTTTCCTTATTTCTTCAGTGGTGGGTTTCATCAGAAATGCTGGATGAGGGACTCTGGGTGGGATCTGAGTTCCGTCTGCTGATACTGTGTCCATGCTTCTCAAGTCAAAGTTTGGTGGAAATTAGTCTTGAAGGTGAAATAAAACCTAGCAAGATCCTGGTCCCTAAAGGGAAGTCTCCTGCCAGGGATATGGGCTAGAGGAGAGCACTTTGGCATTTTCATAAATGCAGGAATATTACATATTCATATGGGCGAGTTATGGTTGCTGTGGGAACTGAGTTGTCTGAGCAATCTGCCTTTATCCTCTCCTCCATACAGCTGCATTATAAGTGTTTTTAAGGCTTGTCCAAAACAAACAATCTGAAAACTATACTGGAAGAATTAATGCAGTGAAATGCCCAGCTGAAGATGCTGCATCGATGCTTTTGGAGGAATGTTGGGTGCTGTTTCAGGTGCTTGATGGTAATGTGATGAGTTGGTACTACAGCTGGTACTAGTAGTACTGGGGAAGTGAAAACATCCTGGTGGATGCTATCCTGGCAAAGTGCTGTGGAGGAGGCTGCAGCTAGAAGGGGAAGACATGTTGCCAGTGGGTATGGCTTCAGCTGGTCTCATCCCAACTGCCCCCTCCTCGATTCAGCAACGCTGGTGTACCCCGAATCGCTGCTGGTGGTCCCCAAATCGCCGAGAGGCGAAGGTGAGGGACCCGTCTCCAGGGGTGGTGGCAGCCTGCGTAGGGTACCCGAGTGCCACTGGGCTTTGCTAAGTCATGGGCAACCAAGTGGCACGGGATGTGGGAAAGGAGGCCGGGAACACTGTTGGGCTGTCTGGGATGGCCAGTGCTGCACGTGAGAGAGAACGTGACAGGCTGGAGTGACTGCAGTGCCCTGCTGAAGAGCTGGGAGTGCTGTGCGCGAGGTGCATCGGATGGCACAGTGGGAGGGTGTGGGGGCAGGGGGAGGAGGAGGAGACAGCTGCTGCTGCCTGGTAGCTGGCTTATAAATGCCCTCTGACTCAGATTTTGGGTAACACAGCTGAGCATCTTGTGGTTTCATCAGCCCCCGGATCCCCACATTAAACTGGAATTCTCAGACTGTGAACCTGCTGCATTTCCTTAGGCTGTTGGCACAGGCTTAAACCGAGGCAAGAATCCAGTGTCTCCAGTACTGGAGGCTTGTGAACACCCCACAGGGGAGGGCTGGGAAAGGGGAGGGGGAACCGGGCAGGAGGTAAACAGGCCATGAAAAATTCCTGATGTCAAATGGGTCCTGTGCTCTGGTCGGTCCTCTTCTCCCTGTACCAGCGTGATGCGCCCGTTCGGGCTGGACCTGGGATAATGGGCTTTTCTCTGGGTAGCAGGGGGGTTGAAGGTTATCCTTGTTACTCAGTGGTAAACAATGCAGAGTCAGTGAGGCACAGTGGCCAAGTTGAACGAAATAGATTATGCTAGCAGAATTGCGAAGCTTTGCATTGGGCTCTGAATTGCAGCCAGCAGCTGGAGTCTGTCCAGGACTAAAGTGTTTTTGGGTTTTGTGGGTGGAGGGAGGCGGGGACAGGAGAGCTGGGTAGCACTAAAACTAACTGTCTGCTCTGTCGCTGCTGCTGCTATCGTCGTTGCTGGGGGGATTGCTGCCTCGAGCCTGTTGTCTCCCGTGCTGTATTGTGGAGCCTGCTTTTGTGCTGCCTGCCTCCCTTGATTTACTGGAGCTGCACCTCTCTCCTCCTGCCTGCCGTCTTGTCTTTCAGGGGAATCTTAGCCTTTCTTCTTACCTTTATTTTGTAAGAGCTGATGCAGTTCTGTTGCATGGCTGAGTGACGTCACTGTCAGCACAGTAAGCATCAGCAGCCTGGTCACATGCTGACCCAGTCAGTAATGCAGACGGGATAGGAAGGTGGAGGGGCTGAGGGGGGTGGGGGGCTGGTTTCTGGACATATGGTAGCCCTCCCTTTTGGGGTGCAACTGCTAGTTGCAGAAGCTGTGGCTTCAGAGCAGCACGAGACCTGGCTTGGGGCTTAACGCTTCGGAAAACTCCTTTAAAAAGAAAAAAGCAGCCCTGAACTCTCAAGCTTCTGTTTGTTCTCAATCTGAGCAGACTTCCAGGACTCTGAAGAAGCAGTGGCAAGCAGGATGCTTTTCCCCACATCCACGCAAGAGTCTTCCCGTGGCCTCCCAGACACCAACGATCTGTGCCTTGGCCTGCAGTCCCTCAACCTGACAGGGTGGGACAGACCCTGGAGCACCCAGGACTCTGACGCTGCAGCACAAACCAGCACACAGTCCGGTGAGTCTGACACATGCAGCAACAGTTGTTGGATTCCTTTTATTTTTGGCTATTTTAAAGCTAACGTGGAGCGATTAGCTTGTGTAACAGGGTACTGGCAGTTATAACGGGGGCTTCAACCTGTAATGCTTGTGTAATGTGGCGGTTTAGTTGGGGAGGCTGTGGCTGGCTGTGCCACAGCCCCCTCTGCTCTGCTGTCAGTTCGCTGCAGACAAGAAGCGCCCAGGCTTATGTTTTGCTTGGTGCTGTAATGCTGGTGGAGGAATAACCTTGCCAAGAGAAGAGGAGAAATCCTCTCCCCATATTTGGAGGGAGTGGGTGGGGGGGTGTGGTGTCAGGAGGCTGAACATGCTGGGTGGGAGGGAGGCTGAACTTTGCTCTGTCAGCCTGAGAAAATCCCTGGTGGCAGGTAGCTCTGCAGACAGGGGTGCCGGTGGAGGGACCCCCGGTGCCTGACTGCGAAAGTCCGGGCAGCGCAGCTTGCTGTGCTTTTTTTTTCTCTGCCTGTGGGGTGTGGTAGGTGCCACTGGCACCTGACTGCCAACTTCAGCCGGCAGCTCGCAGGCTGGATGGAAGACTTGGAGGGATCCTTCTCCACTCCCACGTTCAACTAGAAATAGCAGTCTTGCTCCTAGTAGTGGGCTGGAGGAGATGCTGCGGAATGGCTTCTTGCTTTAACTCTTTTGGTCCAGCATAAACCTGCATGATTAGCAGGGTGTGGGCTTGCAGCCATGTGCTGCTGGCTGGCTTGCCCTTCCCCCTCAATCCTCTACAGTTTAGCTTTGCAGCTGAGATTGGATGGGGAGTGTTTGGGGCGCTGGCTGCATCCCCCAGAGTGATGCAGGTTCAGGTAACTCTCCCAGAGGCACCAGCTTTCTCTGTAAAATTGCAGAAGAAAGGGATGCTGTGTGCACAAACTTAATGCATGTCCTCAGCCCGGTGACAGAGCACAGAGGGTAAAACAGAGGGAAGAGTTCATTTCCCAGCCTTTAAGGGCTGTAAAAACCAGTTTCACAAATGGTGGTGTGTTCATTCGAGTATCAGTCCATGGAAAGATCTAGTGCTTTGGCAGAGTTTGTACAAGTTCAGCCTGGTTGCTACAGAAACTCATCCCTTTATAGCAGCACGCTGCTGCTTTGTTAAAAGGGTAGTGCATCTCTGTGCAGACTTGGGTGAAACAGGAGGCCCCAGGCATAAAGTTGGTACTGACAGGAATGTAGAATAGTTTCTGGGGTGGCCTGGGAGGTGTTATTTGCCCGTGTAGTTGTGGGGGGTGCTTCTGACCACCTCTGATGTCCAGGGGATGCTGCCCTCAGCATAGGAAGAGCTGCTGGGGCACGGCCCTGAATGTTGCTGCATGGATTGTTTTTTAAAAAAAAAAAATCGCTTGTGGGGTAGTGGAGACTGAAATGACAGCTTCAGCAGCACAGCTCACTCGAGTTGCTCCATCTAATTCCCACAAGATTTGGCATGCGTGTGGGCCCTAGCACAGGCACTTAGGGTCTGCTTGCAGTCAGGGTGCGGAAGCTTTATTAAGCCTTGCTCTGCTCCAGCACATGGCCCTGTGGGCTTCCCCTAATAAACCAGGGAATATCACACACTGGATATCTGTCCTCCTTTCCTTGCCAGCTGAAACCTTGAAGGGCAAGGGAGAGATGAAAGTTAGGGTGCAGTGGGCTGACAGGTGCTGTGGAGCTGTGCACTGAGCCCCTTACGGTTGTTAGACTATGGGGCACTGAACCTGTGTTACAGGATCTTCGGTGTAAAGAGCACACTCAGAGCAGAAAACACCTGTGCTGAACAGTTCCCCTGCTGACAGCCACAATGCCCGGGGCTCGTCGCACAATGGTGCTGCAGAACGAGGGCTGTCACACACCGAGGCGGCTGCTGCGTGCGGATGTCCCAGCCCCACCTGATCCGCTGTAGCCATCTCCGGTGCTCTCTTGGCCGGCTTCCTGCCAGGCTGTCTTGGCAGAGGCACGGCTGTCTCTGCAGCGCTCAAGCCGGCAGTTTTTGTGGCAGGCTTTGCACCGCGCAGCTTGGGCAGCGGGGCTGAGAGGACTGTGGGAGTGTGTGTGGGTTCACTATCAAGGGTGGAGGGGCTTCTGGTTTCAGGAGAGAGACCCATTTGGGCATGAAGGTGCTCCAGTGACCTCCGTGCTTGCCAAGGCTGTGTCTGGTGTGCTAGGTGCCCCCACTGACTGCGGTGCATCGAGCTGGATCTCCTGCCTGCCCCAGAGGCCTGGGGAGAGTGGTGGGAAAGATCTAATGCTGGGTGCTGCCCTCTGCTTGGGTGATCTGTGCTCAGTGGGTGTTTGGGATAACTTCTGACAGCTGCTGGAAGACTGCAACTAATACTGTCTGGAGAGGCCCGTTCCCTCACCTCGCACTCCTGGTATTCCCCTTGGTACACGGGGGGAGATTTGGGCATAAAACCAGCCCAAATGCAGCTGTGCTGCTTCCACAGAGGAGCCTCTGGCCTTCAGAAGCTGTGTGGAGGGGATCTAGGGCTGTATAATTGGGGGTGTTGTGGTCCTGAGACTCTGGTCTCCTTTTCAATTCCACCCTCCCTTCCTGGGTGTATGGCAGCTGGGCCAGGAATGCTCCTTGACCTTGGCTGCTGTTACTCCTCTACTTGGAGAGCTGTGGGGATGGTGTACACGATCTGGAGAAGTGAAAGACTGGTATCTGAGCACAGCTTTTGTATTGCTTCAGCCTGCCCACACCTCCCACATCTGCAGAGCCTCATCTTTTTCTCTTCCGTGAGGGCCCTGAAGTGGCAGCGTGGAGCCCCTCGGGCGAGGAGATATTGTAGTTCAGGAGCATCTTCTGAAAGGCTGTGAAACACTCTCCACGTGGCAGAGGAATGCTCCTCTGTCCGAAAGCTGTACTACAGATCAGAGGAGTTAGTAGGTGCTGATGTTTCCAGGTGGCCTAGCTGTGCTGTGATGGGAAGAAGGAGGCTGTGGAGAGGATGTTGCTGTGTCTGGGCACTCCTGAGGCCTGGGATGCTGCAGCTGGCCTAGCCCCGAGGGCTGGGGTCCCTGTCGGGGTATCCTGAGAGCAGGTGAGGCTGTGTTAGTGCAGGGCTCTCTCTAGGGGCTGGGGAGGACCAGCGCTGCCAAGCAGAGCTGTTGTGCCGTTGGCACCCAAGCGTTTGGAAGGTTCCAGCAGTGACTCAGCTGCACAGACCCACAGGGAGGTGTCTGGAAGGGTGGAAATGCAAAAAAATCCAGCCAGGCTAAAAATATTGCCAGTGTGGCCCCTGCAGTGCCTGAGCTGGAGTACTGATGAGCTGGGACCTCTTCTGTCTCTGTAGTCCCTGCCAGTGTGGAGCTCTCTGCCTGGGAAGGATCTTTGGCTGCAAACCCTTCTGGTGTCACCTTGCGCTCCCAGGGCAGTGTCACGGTGCAGCTTGGTGCAGTGGGATCATGTGCCTGCTGCTGGCCAGGTCTGGGCTAGAGAGCAGTGGGACTGGCTTGTATGCTCTGGTCCTGCCTG